GTGGAATACGCATCCCTAAAGTTGATGTGGAAACTGGAAAACTCCTTATGGCATAGATGGATTTGAGAAACTCTGCTGAGTGAAATTAATTAAAGGACAATAATTGTTATGGAACCACAGAAAAGAAAAAAATCAAGAATAAGGCTTTCATACCAAAATAAACAGACTTGGCTTACCAGAGGTGGGAGAGAAGGGAAAACAATGAGCTAGAGGATAGATGAGTGTTCACTTGTGTGAAGGGGAAGATGGTATTCTTTAAGGAAGGGAAGAGGAAAGTATGGACGACTGAGCTAGCTATTGGGAGGTTTGATAAGTGCTTTAAGTTGTTGCATCCATAATGATGTTCTGAAATAAATCCTCACCTAATTCATGATAAAAAGGGGTGTGCTTTTTTAGATGTACAAAAAAATGTAGGAAATGTATATATGGAAATCTTGATTCTCTTGAAAAACACAACAGTATATTTTTATTGTACTCTTTTCTTTATTCTCTAATGCTTTCATATGGTTTCTATTGCTACAGAAAAGCTTCATATTTACTAGAGAATATATATATATATTTTTTAACATTCAGGAAATGGGGTGGAAACCCAGAATTTTTCTGACAGTTTTACTCTTTACTATTTTCTAATGAGTGTGTTCTTTTTTAAAAAAAACAAAAAACCATTCTGTTATGGGCTCATACAACTCTTATCACAATCCATGCATACATCCATTCTGTCAAGCACATTTGATGAGTGTGTTCTTATGAGAAAAAAAATATTCTAAATGTAACTGATTCCAATTTCTAATTTTTCCTCAATTCCTGTTGATCACAATACTACAAAAATGATTTATTTTGTTAATGTCATTTTTAAAAAGTAATGATGTGGAAGTGGCATCTGACCTTCTCTAACTTCACAAAGAGGAAGGAACAGAAGCATCATTATCAGCGTCAGTTGCCCAAGTTCAATTGCTATGAGCTAGGGTCAGACGTGACCCGCCCTCCAAACTTCTCACCAGTTCTGGCACTAACCGCCCTTCCCACAGCACTCTCTACTCAGACGGGTTCAATAATTCATTGCCTTGGCTATAAAGAATTCACAGACAATACTCACGGGTATGGAGTTTGGGGGGGAAGTTAATAGGGTACAATTCAGATGAGAAATGTTCAGGATATAGGTGGTCAGTCCAGACAGTTTAGTTGTGCCCACAGGCAGGCCTCTTTCAGACCCTCAGTCTCTTGGTCTGCCCTCTGCCCTATGGTTGCCAATAAATGCCTACTGGACACAGGAGTCCACCATAAGCCTTAGTTGGAAGATGTCCTTGCTCTGCTTGGGTCAGCAAGCCTCACTCCTCCAAGTCCGTGCCTACAGGCACCCCACTGCACAAGCCAGCTGCTTTCCTGAAGGCATTCAGCTTTATTTACTCAGTGGGCTGCAAACTCTACCATTATGTCTCTTATTCTGGCTTCTAATTCCGCTGCTGCTGCTCCTTGCCCACTCCTCTGGTGTCGAAGCTGTCTCTTAGGTCAAGGAGGTTCAATGCACAGGGATCTTAGGGTCCAAAAGCCATGCTTCACATCTGACTCTTCCCCCAGTTATTGCTTCTGAAGTGGCTTGTTTTATACCCTGAGACATAGCAATCACCATTAGCCCTATTAAAAATCACTCATAACTGAATCATATCAATATCTTCCTCTACCTTCTCTTACCTGAGCCATGTGGCAGTTACAGGGACTATTCCTAGAAGAGCCACCTTAAATAATTCACTGCACTGCAATTACTTTATTATTATATGTTAGTCCCCTTAAGAAAGCCAGTCAAAACCATATTTTTTCAAGAAGAGGAAGAAATTATACTTGAGCATCAGTAGTTCAATCCTGGAATGAACTAAGCCCAGGGCTTAATTTTTAACCAAAAGCTAGCCCTATAAGATGAACAACAATGCCCGGAGGTACTGACGCCTTAGAACAATCATCAAAAGGACAGCATTTGGCCCGGGAGTAAAGTTCAAAAGTCAGGGAAGGATTTGAAAGGACTGATGGAAATGGTAAATGTAGGGAAGAAGTAGGAAGAGTGCTGGGGTGTCCTGGAGATTGCAAACAATGCCTCAAAACAAGGTGAACAGGAATTATTGAACGGAAAACCAATTTGCACTGTAAACTTTCACCCAAATCACAATTGAAAAAAATGTTTGAAAGACTATGGCCAAGGGAAGATCTGTCTATCTATCTGCATCTATATTTGTACAAATTATCACTTTGATGCACACTGGTCTCATTTGATGTGCCTACGTCTTCTTTCAGTCTCACGGTCAGAAACCAAGAAGAACAGAGACCCAGGCGAGCGTCCCATGAACCCAGAATTGGTCTCCCAACCTGCGAAAAAAGGTAAAACCTCATGCCGTCACTGTCCTTTTACACTCTTGTCTTTAACTGAAATTTAAGCATATCAGATCATAGTGTAGGTTCATCTTCCCACCGTGCAGAACTCATTTAAAAAATCATTGTATGATGGGAGAAAAATCAGTCCCATTGTTAATCCACTCCCTTTGTGAATCACAAATATGTCTATGCTTTTTAACAAAATACAGATTTCATTTGCATATATTTTTAGAATAAAAGACCATAATGAAACATACACATACTTGATTTTCAGGAGTATCTAAGTCCCTTTTTTCCTCGGTTCTAAGCCATTTATACTAAATGGCTAAGGTCTTTTTTTTTTTTTGCTAATGCATTATTTTTTAATGTAGATATTTTGAAAGTAGTTTTAAAAGAAACGATATATAAAAGTACTTTTCAAAATGTAAAATTAAAATGATTTCATATTAACAATCAGTTTTCTTTCACTTATCTATGTATACACAATTGGATATTTCCCAAACAGACATTAGCTGGTGCCTTACTGTGGTATAAAAACCGTACAATAAAAGCCCAGTCTTATTCCAGACAGTGTCCCACTCTTCAGAGATTACTGTCATGAACATTTTTTTGGTTTTGTTTCGTCATTTTAAAGAATTTCCCACGCATTTACACACAGCTGTATGTGTGTAATGGAAATGCAATCCATCTACATACACTGAATCTAAGAATTACCTCATAAAGTGTTTCCATAAGTATTGGAATTTGGCTGGGTTGCCTAGAGACACAAACCAGTTAACACTCGTTGACGTACAAGAAAGAACTTCGTCTTAAGAAGCCACTTTACAGCAAGAAGATGTCCCAGTTCAGTCCAATCAAGGCTATCCAAGACCAATGCTATCCAGGGCCCTCTTCAGACGCACCTAGCTGCAGGAGCATGATGCCAAAAGGTGAAGCAGGCAGATCACAGGGTGGTGGATGCAGAGTCAAGTGGATCCATGGTCCCTGGAAAGATGGCAGGGTGCCAGCAGTCCACAAGGGGCCACCCCTGGAGGCAAATACAGAATCCTAGCAAGCAGAAAAGCAAACAGAGAGGAAGTAAGACCCCAGTTTTTCTCCTATAAAAAGGCCACAGCTCCCAGGAGGCATCATCAAGCTATGTGACCTGATTGACAGGTTAGACTGCCCTAGTGCAAGCTGTCATAGAATCTGTCTACCACAGTTCCTGAATAAGCAGCTTTTTAAAATCTCAAAACAATTAAAATAGAAATTAAAAATTTAAGCATAAGCTAAAAATTCTATTTGATATTTTAAAAATACTTCCATGTAATTCCTAGGTCAGAGAATAAATACTATCAAGGTTGACTTTAAAGTAATAACAAATCTACATGAAATTGATATCTACCAAACTTATGGAATGCAGAGACTGTAGTAAGTAGAGAAAAATGTCTATCCTTCAGTGTTTATGTCACAAAAGAAAGACTGAACCCTGATCAGTGAGCTAAGTGTCCAACTCAACAATAAGTATAGAAATGTATGAAGTGGGGGAAAGGGTTACAATGGATAAAATCAAGGCAAACAGGGAGACCTAAATCAAATGAAGTTGGTAAAAGAATGGAAAGTTAGAGGCAAGTCTTACTCGGGAACCGTGGCTGCATACAACATGGGTAACTCTTAGCAATGTAGCGGTGGGTGAGAAAAATCAACCTCAAAAACAGAAGACAACTTCTAACAAAACATTTTAATAACGTTTGAAGAAACGAAAATCTAAAGAATATGCTTTCAGAGTCCACCCGGCCTCTGGTGGCAGGGGGTGGAGGGCAGCAGCATGCAGCCCCAGCTCAGCAGCCTCCAGTATATCCAGTGGAAGGACGGTGGCCAGGTTGAAGTCAAAGCAGGAGCTGAGCCCGACATTGAGTGCTCACACCATAAGAGGATAGACCAGACGCTGAAGCAGGGCATCACCCCCAAGATACCGGGTGGAATGGCCCTCTTCTGGATCATCTTCACCCTGGGCTACGTCACCAGTTACTTTGTGCATCAGTGCAAATAGGAGTTCTTGGCGCCGAGTGCAAACGTGCAGGACAGCCTAGAGCAGTGGTTCTCAACCTGTGGGTCGTGACCCCTTTGGGGTCAACTGACCCTTTCACAGGGGTCTCCCGATTCATAACAGTAGCAAAATTACAGTTATGAAGTAGCAACGAAAATAAGTTTATGGTTGGAGGGGTCACTACTGCATGAGGAACTGTATGAAAGGGTCGCGGCATTAGGAAGGTTGAGAACCACTGTGTTAGAGCAACTCACACATGTGCATGGACACAACCCCCACACACACATACACACACCCTGTGTCCACCACCCCTATGTATACAGACCCCAGGGAATAGGCCTGCAGATGCATGCACACAGCAAGGCACATGTACTAGCACCAGACAGCACACAGGACATTACACAGATGTCACAGAACTGTCAGAAGGATGCACAGACAAACAGCATGGGGACACAGTGGGACACATCCCCAGAGACACACACACTTGGCACATGTGTAATGAAATAAAAATGGACTCTTGTGGTGAACAAAATGGTATTGACAGTCATGTGGATAATATGCCTAAAATTAAATTTTGCCTCCCCACCTCCCACAAAAAAAAAACCTCAAAAATTTTAAGTCTGATTAAACATCTTGTAACTGTCTGCATTCCTGTAAGTTAGGCCAAGTTCCTAGGCCAATGAGTTCCTTAAATTGTATGAGCCAGGGTAGGAAAGAGGGAACCGATTACA